TGTCCCATCTAGTCCCTAACTGAGACATCCTGTCTCCTTTACTTCTATTGACATACCTGAGGGCCTGAAGCGCCGACGTGTTTGGCTGGATTTATCAAGAAAGGGCATCTGGCCAACATTCTGGGATGGTTAGTTTATATTTATTGTGAAACATGAAAATTTTCCTAATTTCCTCTAACGTCAGGTTGGTACGAAATCTGCACTGAGCCTGCCGAGCGATGTGAGCCTGGAGGTGAACCTCTTCGTCTCAGCCAAATTAATCAGTCCAACAGTTTCAAACCCTCTGTACACCTGAAACATTAAACCGTTCTACATCCCCCCCGTATACCTCGTTCTATGGACGTCTTAGGTGGGAGGCCGGGGATTAGGTGCAGCAGAAAAAATAACGGCGGGTATGGAATTTAATTTCGTCTGCTTGGGAAAGATAAAAAGTAAGGAACACCCACAATACATTTAATCTTAATTAGAAGAATGCCGTTAATTAGCGCCGCCAATAATAATTAACAAAAAATTAGCATAACTTGTAAAACCTTTTCAAACGGTAATCCTCGAGCGGTTTAATTATCCGCAGAAATGGCTGCTCCACTCACAGATTATTTCGACGACTTTTTAATAAATTGTTCCGAGGTGAGAAAACATTATTCAGACATCGAGTTTTTACAAAATTATTTGATACTTTATCTTTTATTTTCTTTTATGGTCCGTGTGTGTGTGGCCCGTGTTGCCAAATGTATTCCCTCAATTTATTGGTGCTCACAGGGCGGGCAATTTACCGCCCCACGAACATCTCGCCTGGAGCCCTGCCCATCTTGTTTCAATTAGAGTTTTAAACGCATTTTGAATTTGATTATTTATCTCGCTCCACTTCCCTATTTACATATGTATATAAGTAATCAGGATGCGCAGGAAAGACTTAAATAGGAACTACATCCGGGGATTAAATAAACACACAAGTTATATATGAAGCCGTTTGGTTATCTATGCAAATAAATAATGTGTTTGGTCGGTAAACGTTTCCTCAACATTTGAATTTTGACACGAGTTGGGTGCGTCAACTCCGGGTATTCAAATATATTCAATATAACGGACTAATTTGCATATTCTTGTGTCGTAAAATGAAATATATTGATGGATCTTCACTCTACCTCCAATAATTTTTATTTTCCACATCTGAGGCTCTTCATTGAATACGGCAACAACAACACATGGGCACATGTTTTATTTTTTATAACTTTCAGGTAAAAGTCCATCCTACACACGGGGCAGTTTATAAAATTACCGCACAAAATGAATACGTCGTCATCGATGGCCAGCAAAGACCCCGGACATCTCCCCCGACACGTTCGTCCACTTGACAACCATTAGCTACATTTCCCTCAGAACACGTCGTCTGCATTGATCCATACAGCAGCACAGTACTGTAAACACGCCGGTGGAATTGTCTGTTGAAGTCGGTATTCTCCTTGCTGCACACCCGGAGGATGAAGGTTCTGGGTTGGAAGGGGTGCTTAGCACGGCCTCTGTGCCAGGACACGATGTCGTCCATGTTGTTCTTTGTGGAAACTGATCGCTGCTCTGTGTTAGACGCCTTGTGAAACGGAGGTTCTAGGAATCCATGTCCCAACTGTGGCGCTCGTAGAACAGCCGCTATGGCCTCGGGTCAACGTCCGCTGAGGACGTCTGCGCTAGAATACCGGCGGCGGACTAATGGAAGTCACAGGAAGTCTACAGAACGGTGTCACTTCCGTCGCGACACCTGGCGACGGTCGCTGCTCTCCGTTGTCAACAGAGAGATTACATAACGTCCATATAATATTATGTCCACTCTCATGGACAGAACTTAGTGGAAGGTCTGATGTCGCCGGAACTCTGCGTGGCAAATATCTTTCAGAGTTATTGTCCCGATATACATGCTGAAACTTCCTTAAGTTTTGTCCATGAGTGGATATGGTTAAATACGAATATATAAATAAAAAGATGATATGATAACATATAACATAAAGCGTTACGGGAGGATGGTATTCATGTAAAAAAGAGGCACCGCTCCCTTTAAATATGCATCAAAACACAACAACAACAACAAAAAGCCTTTATTGAGAACCTCTCGTCCTATATATGATTCGCCAGTTTACAGAGTAATTGAAGAGAAGAGAACTAAGAATACAGAGATATAAGTAGTAGGTATAGTATAGTATTTTCTACACTGTGACTATATACAACAGCAGCAACAAGCCTTTTACTGGAATCAAAGTCCCATACAGGATTCGTCATTCTAATCCTGACAAAGATTATTTGAGTATAATTATTTACATCAATTAGATTATGTATATAGCTTCCCCTTCTCTTCAGCCGTCTTCCAAAATTTGAACAACGCAAAAGCTCCAGCTCTGTTTCTCACCACCTCATTCAACAGGAGCTCCAAAGAGAGTCCCTCAAGGCCTATTTCACTGAGGAGCACTTCTCGTTCGTCTTTCAGCCCCATACATGCATCAAAACACAATCCATTATGTTTCTCGCCCTTGTAAAAACTTTACTAGTGGCGATAAGGAATGAGTCACAACAGCTTTGGCAAAAACAAATAACTTAAACCTTTCTTTGATAAATTCGACCGATTCAATAACTCCTCCCGTAGGATGTTATGTCCCTGTACTGATGAGGGCCGATACCATGGTATACAGGTTGTTGGCTGTTGTCTGAATTTACCTAAACTGGTGTTGTGGCTTTATCATCACTAGTTAAGTTTTTTATTGGGGTGATGAAGCCGCCAAGAGATCAACACCACAGAGGTCCGTACGTCTCTTGACCTCACGGACAATACAGCAGCTACATTATGCACTCATGATTGACCGATATGTCCTCACTTCTTTTTTCTAGATTTAATTCATTTTGTCTCCTCTCTAATTGTAAATACGCTGCTGTATCACCTCATAAGCATAAATAAATAAATGCATAATTAAAGGGAGAGGTGCCTTTATTTTGGTACAGAATAATATATGTGTATAACTAAGTAAAACTATATCAAATGTATTCAGTGTCTTATCAATTGATTTATAAATCTCCTGGATAGGAATTAAACAATACAACACACAGTTTCTCTGGAGATGAGAGTTTCTTTCCATTTTTAAGAATGTAATCTCAAGCTTTCTGGAACCTCAGCCCTATTACAGGAGTACATGAACCGAATAAACGCCGTTTGACTTATTCGCTTTATGTACTCCTGTTGAAGGGTAAGGGATGCCCGAAATATTGAGATTACATAAATAAAAATGGAAAGCAAAATATCCCCAGAAACCTTTTGTATTATTCAATTCATATCCAGTCTTCATTGGTGGCGCCCACCGCGGGAAAGACTCCGCCACCGATGGACTGCGAGAGTTATTTCAAACAACGTGGGCAGGTCGATGTGATGGCTGGTGTTCCATAGCTCAAGAACAAGATGTAAATTGTAGCTGCTGTGGTCTTCATTGCCTCGGGATGGAGGTCGAACAGCCAGGTCTGCGGATCCAGGGGCAGGTCGCAGGAAGCGAACACCTCCCAACTGTACCCCTGGTTAGACCCTCGACTCCTCCTTCAATGCCTTCCTCTACTGAGGTTGGCCACATGGTCTCTCCATATCTCCCTCCGCCATCCTCTTCATCTCCTCGTGTCGTCCAGTCTATTGTTTTAGATCATCTGTGTATCCCTGTCGTCTCCTTCCCCTCGATCTTTTCCCCCGGAGCTTTCCCTCCAACACTGTCAGCAATGTCTCTCCTGCTGATCATCACGTGTCCAGCAAACGTCAGTTTTCGTTGTTTTAGATCCTCGTCTAGGCCTCGCAGATACAGATCCTCTCAGCTGTTCTCATCCAGCAATGGCGCAGGGTTACTGCATCTGTTTTGACGGTTGATATCGTCTGCCAATGTTTGTATCTTCGTTATGCAAATGGGAACTGACATTCCGCGTGTTATGTAATACGTCTGCTGTTATATGTTAGTTGATAAACTAATGGTATGATAACAATGGTATTCCCATTGTTAGGCCTAGCCAGGTTTCCTTTGTTTACATCCCATCAAGCTGTTTTCCTCCTTTACTTAATTAGCAATGATAAAAATAACAGCGGCGGTCAAAATTAATTATTTTTTTATCATTGAATATTAAATCTGTTTTTAATATTTGAATTTTACATTTTTTTAGGGATCTGTTTTATATTTTACAACAAGTTTGGGGGAGTAAGCGTATTATTAATTTTGGAGAAGAAAAATTTTAATAAAAAATCACTAAACATGTCTTCAAATTATTATTAATATTTTTAAAGTTTTCAGTTGTTTTTTAAGGAAGAAAACTTCAAATTAATTGTAAAATGGTAAAAAATTTAATTAAAGATATTTAATAATCTCTATTAGGAAAATTAATTTCATAAATAGGAGGAGGAGGAAGCTATTCAAATTGGACGGTTGATAACAGAGGGCTATATGCAAATTAGTTTAAAGTGAACGGTACAATATGCAATGTGTTTTTTCCACCTGGGAAGTTTGCAAGAAGTAACTTATATTAAATTACATTCAGCTATATTACTGGTATTCAATTATATATTTATTACATTTTATAATTAGGTATCATTTATACATTTCGTTAAACAATTTAAATTAAATCTATATGTATAGATATTTAACTCCTGTGCTGTGAGCTGCAATTTCCTTTAAAATGGCATTTTTAACTTATCCCAAATATCCCATAGTATATGATAATCATGGTGAGCGACTGTGTATTATTATTATTCCATATTTGGCCAAATACCCATTCTTAATTAATCAAGAAAAGCTAACCACAGACGCGTTTCGGGCTGTTGGCCCTCATCAGCGTGGTGCAAGCAGTCTTTCAATGGAAGTGAACCACATGTCTACACAAGCGCAGCTCTACCTTTGCATTTACAAGACGCAAGAGCCTCGTTTGATGATCTTCACTCACTGAGGGGGTTGGACATATGCATGAGTGATCCTACTGAAGACATTTTTTTAAAATAAAAAAGTGGCCAATGCGGGATTCGAACCCGAGCCCTGTTGGTCTAAATTCGATAGTGTTCACCACTCCGCCACCTCTCCCAACAAAATTGTCTTTAGTTAAATGATATTTCAATACGTCAAATAAAAGAAGAAATACAAGTCGGGGAGAAGAGATTCTTTATATAAGACGACAATCTTACAAGCTTTAGGGTAAGACGTCCTTCTAACGGGTACAGAATGACACAATGGTTTACATTCACTTCAAGATTTTTCTACATAATTCTATTTTTTTAACTGTTTCAACTCCAATGTTTCTATAAGTTCCCCCATCAATAGAAACAAACTGCCAGAAGCCATGTACAGAACGTTAGGCCTAACCCGAGTTGTATAATCCGGAGGTTGGTTTAACAACGGCATCATTAGTGGATTCTTATTAACGACAAATTATGAATATTCTGTTTTTTAATTAAGTTCGCGCGGTTTTACGGAAACATTTTGTTCCTTCAGATCGCGGGGCAGGGTAGCGGGGTCGCTCCTTGAGTTAATGGCACTTGACCCAGTACCTGTCTGTCTGTCCGTCCGTCCGTCCGTCTGAGGACGGCACTTATTTACATATCTTGGATGCAACACGAGTTAAGTACAGTTAGATGGAATACATTCTATATAAACTATTTCATATACAGTAAAACCTGTCTATAGTGCCCCCTCTTGGGACTCACCAAAATAGGGTGCTATAGAGAGGGGGTGCTATAGACAGGTCACTTTTAACGTAAAATGTTTTCATTTTAATGTTTAAAATCGGGCGCTATAGAGAGGGAGACGCTATTTAGAGGGGGCGCTATACACAGGTTTAACTGTACTATAAGAAATTGAAACTCTTTTTGAATGCCTATCTGTGAATGTCTGGAACACGTCTTCCTCATGGAAGCCCCCGTCCACAGAGCTCCGTAGGCACTCCCGCTAGTCTCTGTAACAATACGGAGATGGCAGGCTGGAGAGTCTTCTCCACGTCGTTCCTTTAGCTCCACGCTGCTGGTCATAAAGAAATAAATATAAAGTAGATAAACATGAAGATTAATTACTCGTTGTAATCAGGTCAAAAACGTATTTTTGAAAGAGCTAAGCGCCACATCTAGATCGTCGCATGATTGGAACAGCTTCAAATGACAAAATATCCATCCATTGTAGCATTTACATTACAGAATTCGGTGGCCAGATACTGTCACAATCTGTCGTCAGGAAACTTGCTGCGATCGCACCAGATGGATAGTCAGAAGGAGTTGAACTCTGCCATCCCCCAGGTCAGAAGTGGGCGGCCATCGTTACAGCAGGAATTGGCCATCAAGGTAACTAGCCCTGGTAGTTACGGTGTCACCTGACCCTGTCATCAACGGCCTTAGTGGCTCCTGGCGGCGGCTGATTGCTGCGTAACGTGGCCAGGACCATATTCTGGTGGAGATTGGCGATCATCAGCTCTGGCATCATTCCCGGCCAGAATGTCCAGTAGCAATGTGACACCTCAGATAGAATAAATTCTTCATTTTCACATCAACCTTTCGGCAATCATGACCCTTTATCATGTTCGATACCAAGCCATAATACCGCAAACCTAATCCGCTTGGATGGCCACAATACTGTGAATCTCCACAGCGCTCTTAAATCAACGTCTCTCCCCGACCACCGCTGGGTGGAACGGTCGTCCAGGGTCAGCAAAGAGCCGAGACAATTGAGTCTGCAATGTGTTTCTATAATGACCCATAGGCGAGCTACAACCGCTCTACAACATGGACTTTTGTTTTAAACAAAAACCGTTGCACTAACAGACAGGAAAGTCTACACAAGTTTAGAAATGGTCTACAAATACTCGCGACGTATCACAACCCTTTAAGTTGGAGTTCACTATAGCTTGATTATCCCGGAATGGAAGTCTTGTACTGACTGCAACATTCTGACACCAGGTGAAAGGTCGAACCTTTTAGTGGACGGTTCCCTCAGCCAATGGGAGATAAGAGGTGACGTCACCAAGGGTCGAGAGGCTTTGAAGTGGCAGTTCCGTTGAGGCAACTCCCCCAGGTGGCAGTAAGTACCTGACATACCAATGGTCTTGTTGGTTAGGACCCACAGGGCTTCTTCCCAGGTGGACAGACATATTTACCGGAGCTTATTTTGCCGGATCATCTCTCCTTCAAATACTCTGTGCCATCTACTGACCGTCACTGCGAGCTAGCAGGTCGTGGACAGCAGCACCAGATCTGAGATATTTCAGAAGCCCTAAATGTAGGCTAGATGGCGAATATTTTGCGTCTGTTTTGAAGGGAGCGGTGAACTTTACACATATTTGCATCATTCCTCGGTTGACGAGATGAACTTTGTATTTCAGGATCCACATAGGATAGTTGCGTTCTATCCAGGCATAGCTTGCTACGGTATTCTATTTCAACTTTGCCATAGGCCGTTCAGAAACAATCTAGCCACACGTTCCCCGGCCGGGCCAATCACACTCAAGGGATCAATTATCGTAGCAATAAAGCTTCTATAACAGCGACGTCTTTTTTAAACTTTTAATTGTCTCCTCTCGCTACTGTACCGTCGTAGGAAAAAATGACATCATTCACCTGGAGTGTGTTGATTGGCCCATTACACCAGTGGCTTCCTTATTTACATAAGCAACCAATTGTGAACTCCTGGGAGTTCGCGGGGAAGACTTGAAGAGGAATTACAAGTTCAAACTTCTTGTTCCTCGATCAAAGATTCAATAAGGTTCTTTTCGCGAGATTGAAAGCATTGAGGTCATGCAGAGGAGGGCCAAAAACGCCGAAACGCGTACTATGTTGATAGTGTTGTTTATAGTATGATTGCGGCAAGGTATAATGCTGTCGGGCCCAAGGATGGAACATTACGGTTAGAGCGTCTGCATCTGGCTGTAGTCTATCTTGCTGGCTGAACACCGCGTGGACGACTTCAACAAGTTGAGTTTTTCTTCAGAGAATTGTGTGGAGTCGCCGGCTACTGACCAACAGGGTACTGGAGGACAAAGCTGTGGAATCTGCGCGATCTGACCGACACCAGCGCGTCGTGGAGAGCAGATGGAATATAATGGACAGAGAGGATGTATCAGCAATTGTCACGATATGTCAACCCCGAGGTGACACCCACGTTGTCTGTCCTCCATTGTCAAAGGTTGTTACGTGGAGGAAGAACTTAGCAGCCACACAAAGGAATCTTTGTCTGGGTGAGGTCACAATGGTGGCGTCAGGCCAGCCAGGACCTGACCTTCACTGGCATCTCTCTGTCTGTAAGCGGTGTTGGCTCTCAACAATGAGAAAAGATAACTCCACGGCTGTATCAACCACAGTGCACGGCTACAGTGCGTTAACTCCTGGAGCGTACTGAATGTCAGGTTTACAAAGAATGGAGCTGGCAAACGTGGGCTCCAGAGTTTTCTACCTGTTCATTTACTCACTTCCAAATGCGCACCAATTCATCACAAAGAACTCGGTTCCTCTCAAACGGCAGCTGTCGTTTTCCCAGATTCAGCACACAGCCGAGATGGCCTGTTACCTCAGAACCTTTCTCTATCTGGTCAGGTGGAGCAAGTCGGTCGAGTTCGCCGAGAAAGGTGAGGAAACTGTTGAACGGCTGAGCGGCCAAAACATGTTCTGGCCAGAGTTAAATGTAGTCCAGTAGAGGCCTCGTTTACCTTTCTCTGGAACTAAGTGAGGCGACCGAGTATTTCTGGGTTTGAAGTGAAATCACACCACGCTGGTATTTTACGTGTTAGTCAATGATGCCGTGTGTAAGTTATTGATTGCAGTGAAGAATGGAAGAAGAGCGAGGGAAGGAGGAATTCTGAGAAATAACAAAAACTCAATTAGCTGTAGTGTAGGCTGTGGCGGCTTTTAGCAGCGTTGCCAATCGAATTACAGAGTTTTAAATAGAAGGAGAGATGTTTACTACAGAGTTCGGCTGTCTCGGCAACAACAGATGGACCAATGGACATTCTGTAACCTAAACGTGATTTGCATATTTGGATTTAACTTTGTTACTTTTGATGGCAGTTTTGTCGGCCATGTTGTGGGGAAGAACTACACCTCCTTCCGGATAGTGTCCAAACCACATGTGTATATATGTGCCAAAAGAGGCACCTCTCCCTTCAAAAACACAATAAAACACGACATTCAGGTTTATCAACTTAGTATAAAACGTAATGATAGGGACAAAGAATAAGCCACAACACCAGTTTAGACAAATTCAGACAACAGCCAACAACCAGTACACCATGGTATCAGGCTATATCCCTCATCAGTACAGGGACGGCTTCATAACATCCTACCAGAGAAGTTATCAACTCAGTCGAATTGGCTAAAAAGATGTTTAAACTAGTTAAAGTGGCAAAGGCCGATTTTCATACAAGAATATAACATAATGTTGTCTGAATTTTCTAAAACCGGTATTGTGGATCATTCTTTATCATCACCATTATGTTTTGTATTGGGGCGATAAACTAAATGCATTGTTTTAATGTATTTTTAAAGGGAGAGGTGCCACTTTTGGTACATGAATATCATCCGCCCGCATATACACTCATGCACAAAACTTAAGGAAGTTTTTTTACCATATATATCAGGATACAGACAATAACTCTGAAATATGACCTTTATTGAAGACATACGAAATAACCAAGTGTGAACAACCTCTGTCTATTTAAAAAAAAAAGACGACCCGAGACATCAAAGACTTTCCACTTCCTTAAGTTGTTGTTCTATGAAATGGCTTTCTAAGGTTTGAAAAGCTATATTTGCGACTTTAGAAAGAGAAGTTCTAGAAAGCGAGTTCAGTAATACAGCATCCACTTCCTCTAAACCATCGTAAGACGAAACCTGGGAAATAACCGGTGATGGGGACATCTGGAGAATTTCTCCTCATTCCATAGTTCCCTAGTGGTGTCCCATGGGAAATCTCCGCCGACAGACTTGGTGAGAAATATTGGTAGCTGTTCCCCTCCTAGCTGTGAGCGCCTTTCGACCATCCCTGATGTCACAAAGTCCCTTCCATAAGCCGACAAATTGGAGGAAAACTGAACGAATATCTGTCAACTC